TAACGCCAATAGGGTTAAAGAAGCGATAGAGCGGAACCAAGGCTCCAAAGTGTTCGCTAGGGACATGTCTATTGGGCAAACACAGCCGACGAAGCTGAAGGCGGAGGATGGCAGTGTGGCGTCGACGAAGGCCGGAGTTTTGGGTGAGATCGAGAGGTTTTATGGACAGCTATACACATCGGTCACTAAACCTGTTAGCTCAGTCGCCGATCCAAGAGCTAAACTCACCCGACACTATACCGAGGATATCCCGGACATCAGCCTATACGAGATTAGGATGGCCCTCAAGCAGCTCAAGAACAACAAGGCGCCGGGCGAGGACGGAATCACATCAGAGCTTCTGAAAGCGGGCGGAACGCCGGTACTGAGAGTCCTTCAGAAGCTCTTCAACTCCGTCATATTCGAAGGAGCAACGCCGGCGGCATGGAGCAGAAGTGTGGTGGTACTATTCTTCAAGAAGGGAGATAATACTCTACTGAAAAATTATAGACCCATCTCACTTCTGAGCCATGTCTACAAGCTATTCTCGAGGGTCATCACAAATCGTCTCACACGTAGGTTCGATGACTTCCAGCCTCCCGAACAAGCCGGCAAGTTATACAGGAGACCGAGGAGTATAACTTGCCACTATGCTTGGCGTTTGTGGACTATGAGAAGGCTTTTGATTCGATCGAGACTTGGGCTGTGTTAAGATCTCTCCAGCGGTGCCATATTGACTTTCGGTACATCGAGGTTTTGAAGTGCTTATACACAAACGCCACTATGTCGGTCCAAGTACAAAACCAGAGCACGAAGAATATTCCTCTGCAGCGAGGTGTAAGGCAAGGAGACGTCATATCTCCGAAACTGTTTACCGCTGCATTGGATGACGCTTTCAAGCTCTTGGAATGGAAAGGATCTGGCATCAACATCAACGGCGAGTACATCACTCACCTCCGGTTTGCCGACGACATTGTAGTCATGGCAGAATCGCTGGAGGATCTGAGCACAATGCTCGATGACCTCTGTAGAGTTTCTCAACAGGTAGGGCTCCGAATGAACATGGACAAGACGAAAGTCATGGCAAACGCCCATGTCACGCCCTATCCTATATCAGTTGGGAGTTCTAACCTCGAAATTGTTGACGAATATGTATACCTGGGACAAGTGATCCAGCTAGGTAGGTCCAATTTCGAGAAGGAGGTCAATCGTCGAATCCAACTTGGATGGGCAGCGTTCGGGAAACTACGCAACATCTTCTCGTCCAACTTACCTCAGTGCCTTAAGACGAAAGTCTATAATCAATGTGTGTTACCAGCGATGACCTATGGAACTGAAACGTGGTCTCTTACTGTGGGCCTTATAAAGAAGCTCAAGGTCGCTCAGCGCGCTATGGAGAGGGCTATGCTCGGAGTTTCTTTGCGAGACCGTATAAAAAACGAGGATGTCCGCAAACGAACAAAGGTTTCCGACATAGCCCAGCGGATTAGTAAGTTGAAGTGGCAATGGGCAGGGCACATAGCGCGTAGAACCGACGGCCGCTGGGGCAGAAAGGTTCTCGAGTGGAGGCCACGTACCGGCAAGCGCAGCGTAGGACGTCCACCCGCAAGGTGGACAGACGACCTGATTAAGGTCGCAGGAAGCCGCTGGATGCAGGTCGCTTCCAACCGGCCTATCTGGAAGTCAATGGGGGAGGCCTATGTTCAGCAGTGGACGTCCTGTGGCTGATATGATGATGATGACCTTTTGGGGATTACGGATTTGGAGATTTAGGGATTGGGTAGGGATAACTCACACGGCGAAACACAACACTGTGGTGGTTTCACGCAGAATTTCTGTGAAGACGTGGTATCACTCCGATCGAACTGACCCATTCTTGCTGAAGCATGGCTCTCCCACACTTAAAATTATTGTAACTCGTTATACCTATTGGTTTTTCTTGTAATGTTTTTTTTTTAATGTAAATGGTTGGGGTGGCCGAAGACTAAGGCGGCCGCATATCCCGCTTACATGAGGCATCTACCTATAGCCTAATTACGATAATGATGAGATACTGGTATAAACATTTGTGTACGGATTAGAAACTTATTTAAGCACTTTTATTTTGAAATACTTATGATGAATTATTTTTATTTGTTTTTTTTTTCAGTAAGCTAATAGTGATATATAGAGATTATAGTGTAATGAATTGCATATGGCATATACCAACTCCAAATCAGCTACAGAAAGTGCTCAAAATATTACTAATTTTTCATTGAGTGACATTTAAGTGTGCTAGAACCAAGCTTCGGCACAAATTGGTCGGCTCGACCAGAGTGATACCAAGGCCTCACAGAATACCGGTGTGAAACAACCCACAGCGTTGTGTTTCGTCGTGTGAGTAAGGTTACCGGGGGCCCAATCCCTCCCCTTTTCCTATCCCTTCCCGATCCTTATATCCACAACCCCTATCCCTCATAAGCCCGCCGACGCACTCGTAACTCCTTTGGTGTTGCGGGTGTCCATGGGCGGCGCCGATTGCTTACCATCAGGTAATCCGTCTGCTCGTTTGCCGACGTAGGTATACCATACCAAAAAAATTATGTTATCTATATTCGGTATTCACAAACCATTTTTACTGGTGATTAAAAGTAGCTACCCCCTTACATCAGTACATCTTTGCTCTAATCTATTTTATTCTGTGAATTAATATGCATTTTATCGTGTGAGAAAAATTTAAAGATCTCAGGATTATTAGGGATAATATAGTAATTAAAACATCGTAAATAATTTACAAAATTTTTATTTTCTCCTCCTGTCACCGGCTCTCTTAGGCTAGGTATGTATGTTCTTTCTTTGTGTATTGGTAACACCACAACTGTCGCTCAAACAAACTACCACAGGCTTCAGGTTTGAATTCATAGATGGCGCTTGCGAAGCTTTAAATCCATTAGGTGTTAAATACGAAAAGAAAATATAATTAAAAAATATTTCGGTTTTTGTAGACTATGTATATTTCAAGTAATATATATTTATATGATTTTCAAACTAAAAACCTGTGGCAATTCCCGTAAATTAAACATATCTTTAGATGGCAAGATTCACTAAACGCTAACATTATATTGTATGCCGGCCACCATCTGTTTCATTATCTAACCACATATTTATTATGTTCTAATGATTCCGAATGAAAGGAAATTATTTTACGACCGACGAATTTTACTAATGTAATTAATTGATATTAAAGAATAAATATACTAGACTGAATGCGAGCGTAAACTATTGAACGGATATTCTATAGTTAGACATATATATGGAGTTCAACTTGACGAGGTAAACCAATGAACCACATAAAGACTGTAGTACAAACAAATAATTAGAAAGAAAAAAGATAGGTTCTTCTTACTATTTTCATATAAAACATCAGTATTAATTAGGAACTTGTCCAAAAATAATATGAAATGCGATAAATAATAAAAAATATACATTTAACGCCATTATATTCGTATTAAAAAAATAATAAAAAAAATATGGCGGCGCTACACAATCTGTTCATTTTGACAATTCGAAATATTTAAATTGTTGTATTTAAGACGAATTATCAAGCACCCAATTTTGACATTTATATAGTCCTAACATAGGGTTCATATTGAAAATACAAGAGGAGTATGGCATACATTTATTATTTATTTAGTTTCATTGGTTTATTCCGTCAATATCAGATGCAACAATAAAATCTTAGGTACACATATAAAGGAATGTTAGCGTTTAAGGGTATTTATATACAATAATTGTATACATTTAAATATCGATTCGAACAACTGGTAAAACGTAGATCAATATATACAGAGACCGTTAGTAACTTGAATTTAAACTTCGAAGATGTTGGCATCAAAATTATTGCTAAGAAGTTTAGCGCCAAAAACGATAGACAATTTTCGGACGAAGAAAGTTTTCCGATTCGTAATATAGAAGCAATGTTGCAATAGGATTTTGAGTGCGCATTACATTTAAGGTAAGGAAAACTTTGCTTCGGTACTGTGAATCGGACTTTCACCGTTTAAAAAATGTCTAGTAGGCCGCGCTTAGGTACAAGATGTGTCTACTTATATCTATAATGTTTATACTAATATTTACAATTATATATAAACGTAAATAACGAGTGATTTGATTTACAGCTCGTTTATAAAGAAATAACAAAAGTCGAGAGAACTATTTACACAGCAAGTTTGCAAATCACAGAATACGTGTGCAAGAAACACAGTTATTGCGATATATAAGTATGTATGTATGTATTGTAGCAGTAAGTACCTAAAATTATAGTTAAAAGTACATTTCTCTGGCAAGATTCGACGATGATTCACAAGATTACAAGTTATGGCTATGTTTATGGTTTCTTTGCATTCGCTTCACATTGAATTGATGAAATATTAAAGTTATTGGAAGATCTGGATTTGAATAGACTGAAGTTACATGTTACATTCAAAGTTTTTCAATGCCTCCCTTAATCGCTTCTCCTATTTTTTTTTAACATTGGTTTGAAATATCCTCGAGTAAACGTTTTAATTGTTCGTTACATTAAAATTATTGATAAAATGCAATTTCTTTGTTGTTTCGATAGACAATGCGAGCCGCGTAAACGTAACAGTATTCACAACATTACGCCGCCACATTGTCAATTTGTTCGATGGTTAGAAGAATAATACATAAATTAAAAACGTAAAAATCATAAAGTGATCGAAAAAACAATAGTTTTTTTGTTAACATTAAGATATGCTTGATCTTTCCACGTCCCCAATTCATTATCACTTTAATTTAAAATAGAAATAACACCCTTGTGTTTAACACATTTCGTTCTGTTCAACTCTTAAGTATCAGTAATTTAATGGAAATTTACATATAGCAAGTTAAAGTTATATAAATTGCCATTTTCACAACCGAAATTAAATATGTAGTAGGTACTAACGTATAACTTAACAGTTCACTGACAATGGAAAAATTGTCACTGGCTTCGGACTTCCGAGATGCCAGTAATAATTTCGTCATGTCGCTAGTTCAATAAATCGTCTGTGGCACAACACTGTCACTCTGTCTCGCCGTCGCTGGCCGGAGACGGGAGATGACACTTGAGGGATGACGACGGCTTCGTCAGGTCGAGTGCGGGCTCGTGCGAGGGGCCCGGCGCGCTCGCCGCGGCCGGCGCGAACGTAGGCGGCGCGGGCATGCTCGGCAAGCTCAGCAAGCTGGGCGGGCGGATGAACGGCATCATGCTCGATGGACCCTCCATACTCGGCAGACACGACATCGATGGCGGGGTCCAACACGCTGCACCTGAACTCTCGGGCGCCATACCCGCCGCACTCAAGAACGAACACGACATCATCTGAAACAATCATAATTACATTTTAAAACATCTCGAAACGTAAACTTCAGCTAAATTAGGTTGATTGTGCGTGTAATCTCCGAGAGATTGAAGTAAAAACAGAGTATACATAAATAATGAAATATGTAGTATTATGAGATGAGAGGCCTAAAGAATTCGTGGATGGAGGGGCTCTGTAATCACGCTAATGGCCAATGCGCAGCATCGCCCGCGCCCCGCACCCCGCGGCCCGAGCCGCCTCTTCAAGGAAGCTTTCATACTAATGCAGATTGGGCGCAGGAGCAGTACTAAATCGCATCACACTTCCGACACCTAGCTACTTACTGGAAAGTTTGGAAGTTATTCACTTCGATATTCACTTCCAAGAATTTTATTAAATTATTGTAAAATTTCATAAATAATATTAGATCGTTTATTTCATTTCTAAATAATGGTCGTACAGTTTCCAATCGATGTAAGTGTTGTATTTAGTTTCTCACGTCTGCCAATATTTCTTAAAGTAATTGTAAGTAAAGCATTTAGTGGCTATATATCAGGGCGCCGGTGCAGGCCGCCGATCGCCTCCATTTTTCACTCATATCGCCGCGAAATTGATTACTTACACAATGCACGAGGCGCCCGGACCTCTACTGCTCTTGTTCTAACGACTTGCTTCACCAACATGTGTAACAATCTTGTCAAATTTAATACATTGTCGCGAAATTCTGATAAGGGAATTGATTTGTAGCTCGGTCGTGGGACGTGTGTTGTTATAATAGTTTCATAGTTAATACGGCGTACAAAAGCCTCTACACAATTGGCATAGTCGGAGGCAACAGCTGCAGCCTCGTATACGGGTGTTCTAACAATGATATTGTAACTTTAATATTTATTGCACTTGATCAACTCAGCGCAAGTTCTACAGCGCCCCAACATCCATTATAAGCTCGCTCAAAAAGACGAATTTTAATGCATAAATTAAATTTATCCAAAAGCAACAATCTACTCACGTCAAGTCTTTAAACAAGCAGAACTTAATTAACTTGACGCCATTGTACCCAAGAACGTAAAGTGCATAATTAAACCCTTCACGTAAACGCTTTGGTTAATATGTTTAAGCGTCGGTATTGCTTTAGGAGACCTAAACTCTCCTATGAGAATAAACAGGGTCTGGAGGCGTGGGGCGCCGGGCGCGCTGGTCGAGCCTCGCCGCACAAATGAATTAGTGGTGTGTGTTGTGACCCCCGCCCCGCCCGCGCCCGCAGCACGCCGCGCGGGGGGCATGTTGCGATTAAAATATAATTAGGCGCTCGGCAATTGTTTCGCCATCGAGCCAGGTGCTGCGGCTCAGGCGGCTAGGTAAATTAAATAGCCGTATAGGGTTTCCAATTACGTGCGCCCGGTGGCCGCGGAAAACGCGCTTATTGCCTAATAATAGGACGATGTGGGGGGAGGTGGCGAGGGCAATATGAGGATCTTATGTAGCTGATTAATTATTTCACGCGGCGGCTCGTTCGTGTTAAAAATCGAGGATACCGCAGTGATAGGGGGCGATTGTAACGCGATATTAATTGCTATCAAGACTGAGGTGACTAATAAATCACGTTCACCTACCGTTGGTACTTTCAACATTAATGAATTCAAACGGGCTGCGATAATTGCGTACCTAATTACGGGCGGACGGAGCTGTCTAATTTATCACTGTCGGATTATGAATTAGGAATGGCGTTAATTAAACATGCATAATATTTGTGGAGGCGATCTAGTGGCGTGTTATGTTGGAGCTGTAGTGCCATTGAGCTATTTTATTTCGCATTACATCGGCCCTTACAACTTAAGTGTGTGTTGTATTTTATTGATTAAGTCGTCAATGTATATTGATATAGTTAGCTGATTGTCGTATCGAAATAATCATAAGTGCAAGTAATGTTTTACACTTGGTTCTTTCTTTTATCTACACGTTGTAAACGTACATAATATAATATATATACAATGTATAATCGAATAATTATTTATAAATTAGTAGTTTCACTTGAAAGCCAAAATACATTATCTTTTGTAAGGCTTTTTATTTTAGTTTCACTTCCTAACCTCATCACGGGCTAGACGGGGAATCCGTGAAGGGCAGTAGAGGGTCAATGCAGGAACTCTGACCCCGTGGGTCACTTTTGTAATCAATATTCATTGCAAGGTTCCTACATTGTCCTTAATTGGTATTGTATGTTGTGTTAGGATCTAAAAACGGTTCCCAAGTAACGTATCTTTTTAGCACTTTAAATAGAAATAAATCCACACTAAACGACATTATAATGTTAACAAAATTCGGTAAAAAGTTTTAGTATTGACCAACCGTTTGGTCAGAAGAAAAGAGGTGTTCTTTTTTTAAAAAACTCAATAATAGTTACAAATAAAACCTTCGTTCCAAGTATAAATACAATAATATCTACAGAAACAATGAACATAAAACACAATAATATGAAGATTTCAATACAAAAAATTAAACAAGATTATTTAAATCAGAAATGTAAACAGCAAATCCTTTCAGACATGTTAAAAAATTCAAAAACATTTATTACTGTCTTAATTTGATTAGATCTCAATATCCATTAAGTTGAGTTTACCACAACGCGCCAAACATAGCACAGGGTTGTCGAAAAACTTGCCAAAAATAGTTTCATGAGTCACTTGTGTCTGTTGGCAGCCCTGTAAAGGTCAGGGACACGGTGGCCCGGGTCATAAGGTCGCGTGACCTCGCCGGTTGCACCGTAATCACCGATATACGATATTGCTCAAGAATAGACCGCTTTTATTAAGTCCACATTGAGCGTTATTTTAAGCTTACAAAGTAAGTTTTACAACGCGAAATGATTTGTAAATGTGGACTTTAAAGCTGAGGATATTAGATTGATTGTGGAATAAGGATGTTGAGGTTAGATTATATGTAATTGATGTGTAAGTAAAAATATGATAAGTGTTTAAGATCTGTATATCTATGGTGTGTTGTAGGAGATATCTACTATGTATATTCCCTGAAGATTCGAACTTATAATATATCTCTAGTCTAATATAATTTTCATTAAGTCCAACGATATTGTCTATACATACGCTATGCTAAAGCACCACAATACATTTGCATTGATTTCGCCGTATATACGTTTAAGTACTCGAGTAAACAATGGACTCCCTTTCAATACAAATTTCGGTTATTACAGACATGCCGTTAAGGAAGTTGTGGGTATGTGCGTTCAATTTAATATCGGCCATTGAATAGAAAACGGTTGTACGCTCACAATGGTCCATCGGCATTCCATTAACCACTAGGACAAACACGGGGACGCGTGCGGGCACTAACTCAATACAAAACGATTCCTAGCGACCGATACTCGCACATTCGGAACATTCCTATTCGATTGTAACAACACTAACGACTGTTTATATTGGGGATGGGTCCGATCCGGCCGACAATCGGAACCGACGGACTTTCGCGAGACAATGCAAGACTGGGCCTAAATAATTTAATAGTTGTAGGCGGCGGCGCTTCGAGCGGTCCGCAAACAGTTCGTTGTACGATATGCTATCGATGTCGGGTATCGGAAGGCAAGGTTTATGAAGCAGGCTTGTCTTTACATACTCATTCACTGTCTGAGCCATGTGTATTTTGAAATTTAGGAGTTTAAACAATCTTAAGTACATTAGAATTAAGAGTTACGCTTACTATCCATGGGATTTCGGTTTAAAATAAATATTTCGAACTTCTAAATTCATACGATTAATTTTAATATTTAATTTTGAGTGAGGCATCAAAAGTTTTCGTCTGGGAAATAATTGCAGCGCAGCGAAACTTTAGGAGACCTATGGACTGGCGGGGATGTCCTTTATAAAGTTTTCCTTTTTCACTGCAATAATGGATGATATAAAGCTTTGCCGTTAAGGTCAAGGATGTTAAATTGCTTAGTGAAATTGAGCTCTTTTTCTATTGTGACAAGGATGTTATTACAACTAAACAAGTAATGATTTCGAAATACAAAAAAAATAAAATTGATACTACATAAAACACTATTTCTTCGTAATCTAAACAGACCGTAGCAAGTAATTTCATTTATTACGCGAGTGCTACAAATACTAAGAGAAGCGCTAAAGATATGGCGAGGCAGATATAAGAGTGATAGTGAAGCATTTGGTTGGGCGGGCGGCAATAAATTAGGGCGGGCGGGGGCGTCGCGTGCGCTGCGGCCGTTTGTCGCGTAGCGTGCGCCCGCGCTCATTGCTTATTCATGCACGGCAAGCACGCACAGGTAAGGCGCACACTACGCCACTAAAGTGTTGCCCTACCGATAATGAGTTAAACACTGCGATATTACACCGATTGCATACTTAGATTATTTTTGCTTGTATATCTTTTGAACAAACAATAGATATGGTTTTTTGAAATAAAAAAAAACGGTTAATTTTATTTACCTACTTACGTTTTTTTACTTAAATGTAGAAAAGTTAATGTCAATATTTGAATTTTTATTTCGTAGCTGCGGGCTGTTTACTACGCTGCGTAGCGCGTGGCAAGCTTACATTAGTCGCATCTGTCGGCTCGATGACCGCACATTAATCATCATTCACGTCTTAGCGATAAGCTCTCGTCTGCCGTCAGCGCCTGTCTCGCCACTGACGACTTCATCAAATCATCGTATTTAATCCTTCGCCACAACTTCACTCAGCTTCCCACAACACAACTCATTAGCGATCACAACACGTTTCAGTATCATAATTATACCCGAGTATCGGTAACCTATTTGTTACTTACTTAGATACTCATGAAATCAATTTTCCGACAAGTTTTACGTTCAAAGCGAAATTTGACTTACACTGGATATATTACTAAGAAGTCGTAAAGTTACAATAACGTAGTAGATTCTTACGTAAACTTTAAAGAAATAAGTGTATACGTCAAAGGATTTCGCATAATTCCCGATAACGAGCGTTCGAGTCGCTCTCTTACTTCAAAGCCGCGTTTCAGTTACAGTTTATTATTAATAAAATTTGGGTTTGCGAGCGGACTAGGAGCGGAGTGGAGCGGGGCGAGCGGAGCTGGTGTTGTAACGAGCGCGGTCCGCCTCGTTATCGGCAGCGCCGGCCGGTCAGCGCCGCGGAAAATTCGCCCGAAACTGACGCGCGTGAAAATTTAATGAACGGCCGGACGCTAGTTAACTAAAAGGTAAAGTGCACCCTCTTGACGTGTTCGGTAAATATTAATAGTGAGTGTGCTAGCGTGCGCCATTAAAAATGCACGAGTCCGCGGACACGCTGCCCCGCCGGCGGCCGCCGTGTTCATTAGCCTCTTTACATGCGGTCCCCGGCCCTCCTCCAAATTAACTCCGGCTCGGGGCGACGCCGCGCGTCTCAACGTCACTCCTCCGACATTATAACAACAAATTAAGAATTTTCCGCTATCCTGCTTTGCCGTTCAATTTATCCAATAAAACGCGACATTCAATATCGAACTTCTTCGATACGGTGCTCTGCGTGGCCTGCGAACACTTCCTGAGAACAAGTTTTACTATTGAAGCCATTTTAAAACTCTTACGGATGCTATTAAGGATAATAGAAACTGTCTAGTTGGAACGATGAGTCAAGGAATTATGTCTGGCTCTGGAATGATCTAAGTTTGACTTTTATGTCGTTTTCCGGTGCGAGAGCGCGGCTGCTCACGGTCCGTGCGAGCGAGCGCCGGCCGCAGTGCAGGCTGAGGCGGGGCGCGGCGCGAGTTAGCACGCGGAGTCTCTTACCCAGTAATGAGGATCGTTAATTATGTATCGCTAGGTGCGTAAGCTTTTCAATTTGGGAACGGTTCAGTGTCGCGGGCTCTCGCGAACGAGGTCAAGGGTTCGCGACTCTCTCAACCCTGAGGGGCTGCCAAATTAATGAGGCACTCCTTTGTAATAAAGAAATAACAAGAACTGCGCACGCGAGCCCGGCCTCACCGACTTCGATGTCATTAAAGGCGTCGCGAAGTCTTGAAAGGAGTCGTTACCGCGCCTCGCCTAAACAACTGAGTTTTCATCAACATTCCGAAATATACACATAAATTGCTTAGCACTCACGTTAAGGGAGAGGAATATTGAAAATGACGTTAGAAAAATTATGGAGGGATCATCGAATGGGAGAAAGAAGACGGGTAGATTTTCTGAATGATGGCAAAGGTGCTGAATATGTAGGTGGAGTCTGTATTAGCAGTAGTTGCAATTGTTTCCCACAAGTAAGTCAGTGTGTATACGGTTGTGACGGTTCAT